AGAGAAAGGAGAGTTTAAAAAAAAAAAAAAAACCACAAAAAGAAAAAAAAAAAGAAAGGAAACGATCTCTAAATTATGTTAATCTGTGAACATTGGGGACACTTTGGATTTTTGACCCTGGCAAAAGTGATCGCTCCAGCATAACGTCATCTGCTGCTGTCAGTTTTGCTACCTTGTGCATGTGTCTAACTAAACACGTTTTGAAGATCAGAAATATATTAGAACGAAACTAAACAAAACAAATAGTAATAATAATAAATAATAAATCCTTGGGGCTGGTCTCCATTAAAGATGACATTTCTTTGTTGCCAACAGTATTATTTCACTGCCATGAATCTCTTCCATCACTGAGGAGCTGCTGCTGCAGAACTGGTTTGAATTTAAATGTGGAATTTCAGATCTGAGGCAAGGCAGGGTTTTTTTTCCTTTTCTTTCCTAAAAAAAAAAAAAAAGCAGCAATAACAAAAAATGTGCGTCTCAAATGGCTATGTCCTTTGAAAGGAGAAAAAGAGAGAGACTAGACTTTACTAATTGTTAGTGATAACTTGAAAGATGGGAACAATAAGAAATGCACCTGTTTCGCCAGAATCACCTGAACTCAATGAGATGCGTTGTGCCATAGAAACAGGTCAATTTTTCCAATTTTTCTTTTTTCCAAATGTCTGGATCTTTAATCAAAATCTCGCTTTTTAGAGGATGTAGAAAGAATGACTTATACAACAAAGATGGACATATGGTTTTAAGGCATAATACTGATGCAGCATTAATTTTAGTGAAATGCAATTAAGTGCAGTAAAGTGCAATACTGTAAATATTATAGATTAAAAAAAATAGCCGTACTTATTCTGTTAATAACCAATTCTGCAAGAACCATAACTTAAGTCCTTTATGCTCAGACTGGTGCATTGCAGCTTCTCGCCAAAATGACAGTCCGAGTCTTCTATGAATGGATAAAGTTATATGCATCACATACGGGAAAAGGTAGATGCCATGATTTCTAGTTGAGTTAATGTGCCGTATCTCTGGGAAGTAAGCTGAAAAGTCTGTATGACGCTTTCGCAATCATTTTAAGTAAAGAAAAAACCCAACCCACAGGAATGTTTGGTAGAGGTGGACAAGTTCAATATTTGGCCATTTAAATTTTTGCCCGTGATTTAGACACCAAGTCTTAAGCTAATGCTTAAGCAAAATAACTAGTATAAATCCAGAAAGGATGGGGAGTAGGGAAATCCTTTAAATTGTATTACCAAAGTGTCTGGGCTTAGGGCTTCCTGCCCCCCCCCCCCCCGCCCTTTTTCCCTTTTTTATTTTTTATGCTATTCACTTCTAATTAGTTTATTATATCGTTTTTCTATTTTTTGGTGGGGAGGAGAGAGGATGTACAAATATTGGTCTTGTCTACATCTAACAAGATAGCTATTTTTTGCCTTTGTTACCAAGGCCTGTGTTGATGGAAGGTTATCCTCTCAATAGTACCGTTATTAAGCCTGCTTTTTTTGTCTCATTTAGCAATCCATTACTAGTTTTGGCTTTTGCTGATATTTATCAAATCCAAATATTACTGTAGGACAAAAGTTCATGCTGTAGATAAATTTTAGACACGTCTTCATTTTTGTTTCTCCTTCAAGTTTTGATATTTTCTAGCAAGCAAAATTTCTGGAATGTCAAAGTTGTGCCATTTCCCTTCTGTTTATTATGTAAGAAGTAGTTATATTTTGGATTCGCTAGAGCTGATAAATGTTATCTGCCTTTTCTACCTCTCTGTGAAAGCCCAGTACCTTTTTAAAGCAAGACCAAAATGTTAAGATAGTCTTGCTTGTTGCTGAGAAATACGGACAAAAATCTCAGGCCATTAACAATTTCTTATCAAAACAAAACATTACCTAGAAAGTAAAACGTTATTCATGATGATGTATGAATTTCTGGCTAAAATAAGAAATATTTGGAGTGTTTCCAGCACTTCTGACATGCAGATCCAAAAAAATAATAAACATTACTACAGAGATGCTTTAGGCTGTAACTAGTAACGT